TATTCTGTGCTCAGATGGGGCTTTGGTACACAGGCTGTGAAGTCTGAAAGCCTTGTCATGGGTAGGCCAACCCCCTTTAGGCAAAGGACCCAGCTAGGTATGTCCTGTCTGACATCTGTGGGACCAGCACCAGTCCAGGTGCTGCAGAGATGGGGCATGGCAGGAGAGAAATAGGGCAACAAGATAACACTTCACTTTCACACCCCTAGTTGTGGAGGATACAGCTGATATGTCCCAGTTTCTGGACATGCATTCAGCAATTAAACACATGCAAATTACTACAAAAGTAGATCAGATCAGTGAGGAGAAACATCTCCATGCAAAGTTCTTCTGAGGTCCTAAAGAAAATGAGTTCAAGAGCACAAAGACCTGCTGTGCAGGAGGGCACAGCGTATCATATTTCTGTCCCCTTGCATTGTGGACAGGTTGTGGGTGCAAGGTGGTTTTCCTGCTCCCCAGGTCAGGTGGACAATTGGGTATTTGAAATTAAGGGATGTGGAAGGAGATTCTGGTTTTCTCACCTGCTAAGCTGAAGCATAAGGAGAAGGTCAGTATCTAAAATAGTTGTCGCTTTATGTATAACAGTTGTCAAGCAGAACTTCAGACTTGTAAATCAGGCACTGGCTTGCACCAGGAGATAAATTAAAAGCAGAATAAAAGCAGAATGTTGGCAGAATACTCTCCCTATGAAAAGCACAGTAAGTACAAGAGCTGCTGCCTCCTGCCCTAGGCAAAGGTGAGGATCTAAAGCAGACTTTGTGCTGTCTTGGAGCTGGAAAGATTGCTATCGTGTGTTTGTCAGATTAACTGGTGCTTGTTAAGGTCTAGAACCCATTGATTTGTCTTATCTACGTGGAAATGGACAATCCATTAGGAGGGCAAAGTAGCTTTCTAAAACAAGCTTGCTAAGTAAGGACTGTGGACATCTTGCTCTGTCCTTCCCGTATTGTCCTGTACGTTTTACACAGCTCTGATTCCTTGCAACTGATTGCAGGCACATTGTTTAAGGCTCCCCTTAAAAATAATTCTTATTTCCCCTAACACCTCCTTAAAATGAAACATACTCGAGGACTGCTTTGTCCTTTAATTTCTCTCCCAAGAATGACGGGAACAGGAGCTGGTGTTTAATCATCAAAGAAGTCGAAGCCAACAAACTGTTCATTAGTCTCTGGCAGTGGCAGCTTGGTTTTTACTAAGTCAGATGTTTCATTTTTCTCCCTCTTTCTGGAGCATCTTGGCTTTCCTAATGTTCTTTTATGATCTTGGACAAGGAGACCATATGTCATTTTCTTATATGGGGTAGGACTTTTATTTGGTCACTTCTCCAAAAGGAGGTGATTTATCAAAGTCAGGGGTGGAGGGGAAATGGGGGACAAAGTGAAGCGGCATGGCTAGTGCCAGAGGTAAGCTGTAAAGCCTCCTTTATCCCCCTCATTGCCTAAGGTACCTTACGAGTGCTTGGTGTGGAATGCTAGCAGCCTGCAGTAGTCACCTTCACTTTTAAAACTCCCCCCAGAAAGGTACCAGCTGTTTGTCGTACACAAAGATGGACTAGGCACAGGAGACATTCATATTGCTGGAAATACTGTGTTCTGAGCAAAGATTTGGTCCTTTCTCACATAGTATTTCACACCATTTCTAGATCTCTGAGTCCACTGTAGCCTGTAACAAGGATGCAGACTTCTGCTTCTGGTAATATTTAGTACTGGGGGCTGTAGAGGTCACAGGACAGAAAACCAATCTGCCCTAACCTGCCAGTGACCCACATCTCCCAGCAGCTGTGCTGAGGGTTCATGAAGCAGCCTGCTCAGGAGGGATGCTTTAGGTGACTTTCTGTTGGAAGCTGGAGCTCCTGCCATGCAGCAGGAGCATCTGCATCCTTGGGTGGTTCTCCTTTCCTGCTAGTCCCTCCCCTTTTACGACTCGGAGGACTGTGTTTTCCACATTATGCCTACACCTTTCACAGTACTGCTAAGTACCTGACCTCATGCTTTTTCCATAGGCTCTGTGGAAAGTTTTTTCCATTACCTTGCCCTCAATCTGTTCTTATATAGCAACCCGCTGCTGAAAGTCAGATACTCTCATTGTACAGCTGTTTTGTTTTTAACCTGTGCAAAAATTATTTCCCCTTTGCTGCCTCCCACTTCTGTCAGAACCTTCATACTATTTTTGAATATTTACTTATTTGTATACTGCTCAGTAACCCTCAACTATCGAAAAGTGTGAGACTCTGTAAGCTTAAGTAGCACAGGGTTATGATTACTTACTGACTTAATACAGCCACTACAGGGAATCAGATAAGAATAAGTCTGGTCTGTACCTATTTTTAAGTGATGTAAATACAGTGGAGAGCTAAACTGTAGAATTTACTACCTACCACAAGGCTGCAGGTACCAAAGGCTGAGATATTCTGAGATGAGATAAACTCTCAGAAGAGAAACCGAGCATCTCCAATTAAGAATGTATCAGCTCTGGCTAAGGAGATCATTAAGCCTGAAACAGCTGCAGAATAAAGTATCGCAATACAAAGACCCCATTTTTTCTTATATTTTTTCCCTTCTGTTCTCTTGACTGGTGCTGGAGACAGGACACTAATGTGTGATGACTTTTGGTCCGACACAGTACCACTGTCTCCAAAACGAGCACAAGCACACTTGTAAGAGTATCACTTTGGGCATAATGTGTGCCCTGTACGCTGATGTATCACTGCGTTTATTGTCTTTGGGGTTCTACAGGAAACGTCTTCCTCCATCCACACCTCTCTTGTGCCAACATTTCAGCTGATTATTGTTGAGTCCTCTTGCATCTTTTTTGTTTTGGGGTCTCTGCTGGGTTTCAGAAAATACTGTAGTTATCAGTCTCTTCCTCTTGCCTAGAGATGTATGCCAACAGCCCTGTCCTCAGTAGCTGGTAGGATGCACTGTTACTTTAGCATGTGAGGCCCCCAGGTAAGCTCCCCGTTGTTCTCTGGGGCTTTTCCTAGCCTCTGAGAGAGCTGTCCTCTCTCCTCATGGGGAAGCAGCTCTGGAGTGTGAGTGCCTGCTGCTCCACATGTTGCTCTCACCTCTGCTTTGTGGATGCATCATGCAGCGAGGAGGAGAGAGGGAGCAAAGCCTCTGCAAAACCTGAGATGGAGGAGGTGCAGGGAGGGGAAGCTGGGGCTCACAGCTCTCTGCTGCTGGGCAGAACAGGGTGAGTGGAGGCATGTGAAGGGGTGTCCCATGGGGATGGTCACGCTGAGCAGATTTCTAGCAGGCTCAGGTGCTATCTCAGCTTTGTGAGGGGCTGAATGGGAGCTGCAGTGCTGAGCACAGCCCTGCATGCAGCTGGGCCATGAGGCGTGCCTTGCAAGGCAGCATGGAAGTCTTGTAAATAAATAGAATGGAAATGGTGCATCGCTGGCTGCCTGTCCCACAGAGGAGAGCTGGGTACCAAGTGGGGTTAGAGGCTCCAGAAACTCAGGTGCTCTGCTCATACTGCAATGCAGGTCCAAAGTCACTGGGAGGGGTAACCAGAGAGAATATTTTCCTTAGCAGGGTCTTGACCAAAGTGAGAATGTTGGTGTCCCTGAGAGATGGACTGTGCTTCTGAAGCAAGAGCTTAGCAATCCTTTAAAAAGCAAAGTAACACAATTTCTTGGCCAGAAACCTGTCACTGTTTTTGCTCTTTTCAATATAATACAGAAGGTGACAGATATAGCTTTTGTATCCAGACTACACCACAGATTCGCTCCATGACCTTTCAGATACGCATGTGGGTCTGGATTTCTGAATCATAGTTAGATACCCGAAAGCTGGCATACCCATACTGTGGGATTATTTGAGCTTGTTTTCAGAGGTGCTAACTCAAACCTGGCTTTGAGTAAAGTCAGTGGGAGAAGACGGGCAGGCAGGATGCCTCTCTGCTCAGCCCAGATGTTAGTGCATGAGCATGGTCCTTGCCAGCCCCTGGCACAGAGCTGGCAATGCAGAGCAGAAATGCCCCTCATGCATGGTCAGGAGGATTCCTTTGGCACTTTAAGTATCTGCTTAGGAAGAAACAATGTGTCTCTGGCCCCAGCAGTTCATTTGCATGCATTTGCAGAAAGCTTTTTATTTAAGGACTTGTGAAAAGTTACTGGCTTCTGTAAGGCTGCTATCAGCAAGACTTGTGAGCGCTGCTTACCCTGCCCACTTCCTAATCTACATCTTGTTAGCTGTCTTACCCAAAAAAAAATCTTGGCTCCTAGCCTATTTAAGACCTGTTGTGAGAAGATTTTTTCATTGATGTGTACAAGACCCCTTCCTGTACTACTCATTTATCTGAGAGGAAACGATTGTACTTTTAGCACAGTGCTACAACACAGTCTGTGGCTTTGTGGAAAAGCTGATTTGGGGCCTCTGGGTCTCCCCAGGATGTGCAGTTACTGTGTAGCATCTAGAATTCTTTCTGCAAAGCTGCAGCTGTAGGCTACAAAGCAGCTCTCCCTGCCCTTTGGAAAAGTGTTGACTCAGCAGAACTTTTAAGCTTCAGCTTTGTGCTGTGGAACAGGAAAGGAAGAGGAGACATGTATGGCATTTTGGTCGCTGGGGATGGTGAAGGAACTGCCCTTTACCCAGTGGATCATGCTCTACTGGTGACAGATTTCCTCCACATATGTCCCTCTCTGAGAATTGCACTGAACTCCCAACTTAGCTCATACGCCAGGGCAAGTGCTAATAGTTTGTCATGGTTGGCCGGGGTTGACTCTGAATCCTTGGCCTAGAGGTGAGATTTTCCATGTGCCTTTGGGAATGTCCTGAATTTCTGCTCAGAATGAAAGTGGACTTTACCAAGCGTATTGTTTCCACTTTTGCAGAACAAATCATAGTCCCTCCAGCTGGTGGAGGTGCAGATGCAAGCATTTGGGTGCCAACAAATGTGGAGACCCACCAAAGGTCTCAGCAGTGGCAGGAGGGACTGGACTGCTTTATGTCTCTGCCCTGAGGCCAGGCTGTGACACTAGCATGTTTCTCTCCTAGGACTACACCATCACCATGTACTTCCAGCAGAGCTGGCGGGACAAACGCCTGGCATACAATGACCTTCCTCTCAACCTAACCCTGGACAACCGGGTGGCTGACCAGTTGTGGCTGCCTGACACCTATTTCCTGAATGACAAGAAGTCCTTTCTGCATGGAGTGACCGTGAAGAATCGCATGATCCGGCTCCATCCTGATGGGACTGTCCTATATGGCCTGAGGTAAGTTGGAGGGGAATCCTTGTTGGTTGTGGCTATGAAAGGTGCCTCAAAATTTCCTCAATTTTGAAAGAGGTTCTGGTATTTTCTTCATGCACACTGTGACTACACAGATTCTGAAGTGTTGTGCAGGTTTAAGCACCTGCTCTTTCTCCAAGCTAGACGTGGTTGTTTCCTTCAGGTCTCTGAAGTTCCCTGTAGTGCTGTAGACAAATATTGGAGATGGGAATAGTTGGTTCTGTGTGTTTCAGGTCACTGTCATTCGTGTTGCATAACACTTCCATTTGAAACACTCATTTTCAGTTCCTTATAATTTTCTGCAAGTTTGGCCTATGGAGATGAGACTTCATTACTCTGGTATCTAATGCTGAATACCTGTAGCACTTGAGTAAAATCACTTTAGTTATTTTTGAGTATGAGATCGTAGACGTTTTTTTACCATTTAAAGGAAAAAAAAGTCTCTTTACCAGAGCAATTTTGATAACTGAGCTTTGAAAGTTGGTATCTAGTAGGGGAATGGTCCTCAGCGAGGAGGCTTTTTATGGTGTCTGGAGTAAATTTACTGGCAAGTACAAAGGCTTTTTGAAAGTGTGTTTGTGTGTAGGGGAGGTGACAGAGTTTGGCCTTGCTGTGTTATTTGGACCTGTAGAGGTACCAGGGCAGGTAGGAACATCAAGCGGGAGGAAGAAGGGGGCTAAAAGGGAAGTTTACAGCTGTAGATAAGTGTGCTCTTTTGGATGTTGTAGGTAAAATCTGAGCAATGATTTCCCCAATCCTGTATTTGTCTGCTTTGAGCTGTTTTCCTAGTGTGTTTTCTTTGTTTTTGTTGTTGTTGTTTTTTTCCTCCTTTTTGACTACCAAAATTCACAGCTGGCTTTCAGACCTGCCTCCACATTCACAAATGATTGTGATAGCAGCTCTGGGCTTACGTCCCAGTGCAGCAAAGGGGGAGGAAAGACCTTTCTCTTTCAAAGAGGGTACACCCACCATTCCCATTTACAGTATCAGCTCCTCTGCTGCTTCGTGTTTTGTGGCAAGGACTGACTTTCTATGATGATTTCTTCCTTTTTAAGTAGCAGGGCTGTTTGGGGGAGGGTGGGGCTGGATGTAGGCACACCAAAGTAGGAGGCTGCACAGGACATCATCCTGCTAGGACAGCAAGGTGGCTGTGCCCAGTGTTTCCCTATGGCAGAGCTCTGGGGAGCTGTAAGAAGCAGTGAATGCTTGTGCTAAGGGACAGGCAGGGGTATGCTCCAGCCTGTCGTGAAGGAGGGGGCACAGAGTGCCGTGAGGCTCAGGCTGCTGAGCCAGCCCACCTGAGCACGGAGCTGCCTCCCCCAGGCTGGTGGGCACCCTTAGCGTGTACCTGCGCAGCGCGTGGCGCAGAAATACTCGTGTATTTTTATCAGCTGCCATTTAGTCAGCTCCGACAATGAGCAGTGTGGATCCAGCTGCCAAGCAGTGGAAGTCCACGGAGGGTTTGCAGGGCCAGGCTGCTGTCTGAGCACCTCCTGCACCGTCCCTGCCCTTGCCCTCCTGTGGGGCCCTGCAGTGCGGGTGGGGGAGCTCGGCTCCCTCCCAGACAGGGCCTGGGTGAGATGAGGAAAATTGCATCCAGGCCAAAAGAAAGAAAATGACAGCTGTTTGCCCCTGTTATTTCCAGGGCCATAGTAAGAGCCGCCTGTGTTGTTTTAACTTTTGGCTGGTTTTCCTGGAAGCTGCTCTCTTGCCCCTGGAGAAAAAGGCAACTGCAAAAACAAAGCAGTGAGCAATTGCAACTGCTCTTCCCAGGCTGTGCCTCCAGCCAGGGTGGCTGGCTTTCACTGCCCTGAAAGCACTGGGGCACTAGGGAACAAGCCAGGTGCCCTGAATGCTTGAAGTCCCTCTAGATTTACCCATAGTGGTATGGGCAGTGCTTTCCTTAAGGCTTGCTGTCTGGACTGACTCCTGCACCTGTGATTTTGCTGACAGCAAAGTGCTAGGTGCAGTTTTGCAGGTGCAAATAATTGTGGTCGTATTCAAAAATACATAGACATATGCACAGCAGGTGCAAGTAGGTAAGAAAATGGTCTGGATATTCACCTGTGCTCCCTTCATCTTGGTACAAATATACCCATGCTTGCTCTGCAAACAGGAAAGAAAGTGCAGGTCCTTCTCCTGCATTATGAAGCCTTGTCTTCTCTTGCATTTTTGGAAGGATCTTTAAAATGGAGTTGCCTTGATAGAAGAAGGCCAAAGGAGGCATTTTGAGGTTTTTTTTTTTTTCCTTTGTTTACCTGCTTATTTGTTTTTCCTCAGGCAAGATGCCACAGCTCTGTTCCTTCTCCTGCTACCTTCTCACCAGTCGCTTCCCCCTCCTTTGAGCTGATCCTGTAGCAAAGTGACTCAATCGTGCTATTTGTGGCACAACAGTCATTTTTCTTTCCAGCAGCCTCTGATGTCAGAGACCGGGGAGGATGACACCCTGGCAGGCCCCAGCTTTCAGCGAGTGTTCAGGCAGGATCAGGCTCAAACCCCGGATCAGACCACAAGGTCCGAGTTAGCTCACATGGAGTCAATGGGTATTTCGTTTGACTTCAGTGAAGACAAGATCAAGCTTCAGATAACTTGTTTCCACGAGTAAATGAAGCTCTTTATTCTGCCGTTCTGCTCCATTGTGGAAGTTGCGTGTCAGAAAAGCATATGCTTGTTTTTGATAGAATTAACGAATTAGTGGATGAAGGGAGTGCAGCAGATGTAATACAGCTACATCTTAGGAAAAGCGTTCGATACAAAAGCTTACTCCAAAATTAATTCACACTGGGCTGGGATTAAAAGCCGGTTGCCAGATCTCCGACAAAAGGAATGCATAAACAGCCACGGGCTGCGATGGGGAGGCGACGCTGGGCTGCGGGACCAGCGCTGGTGTTTCCCAGCTCCGTCCCTTCCAAGCTAGCAGATGGCCCAAATCCCGGGGTCTGGAGCCCAGATCCAGCCCCGGGGATACTCCAAGCAGCTGAGGATGTGTGGTCTGCTGTGGGAGGATGCAAACCCAGCAGAGCCAGCGGGGTTTTAGGATGTGGAAGGTGGTGAGGTGCGGTTGTGTCCACACTCCTCTGACCCCCAGATACCTTGAAGGGATTAAAGGTACCTGCAAAGTATGGGAGAGGTGGTCTCCTGGAGCACACAGCAAGGAATGTGCTAAAGAAACAAGGAAAGGCTGCAACAGGAAGGGAGGCTTAAAGGAGCTGCCCACAAAGATGAAAAGCAGTCAACTGTTGGTGTAGGGGAGGGAGGTGGATAAGATAGTGAGGAAGAACTGTGTAGAACCAGCTGGATTTAATGTATTTTTCCTCCTAATGGCTTTTTGTCAGAAATTGCATTGGTTTCATCAAATTTTAAACAAAAAAAAATTAGGGAGAATTTTTTCATTTAAGAAAAAAAAAATGTTTCAAAGTGTTGATGTTTCACTCCTAATTTTATGCAGGGAATTTTTCACTTATGTCAATAATTCCCTCTCTATTTCATGCCGCTTGCACTACCACTGCTGGAATTTGAGAGTTATAGGGAGAAACATCGAAGCCTTTCTCTGAACCCCCAGAGACTGTGTAGCCTACCTCTGCCATAATATTCAATAAGCTTTACATTAGCACACATATAAGCTATACATTATGGTCTGATATCTGTATTTCCTTTTCTAGACTATGCAGTTTCCATTTGGTAGTGAAGCAAGTTAACACTCATCAAATGTTGATGTCGTCAGTATTTTCCTATGTTTCCAGAGACCTAAAAATAGAAAGAGCTGTAACAATGCTGAAATCCTCATATGGTAATTTGAAATCGCATTTGAAACCGGCTTAAAAACACCCTTCGGGGAAATCTCAAAGCTATTTGATTTCGTTCCAATTAAGGACCAAACTGAATTCCAGCAGAACAGGTGCCTCGAGGAGCTCAGCATCCCTGCGCTCACGGGGGAGCGGAGGGCTGGGGCACGGGGCAGCAGGCGCGGAGCTGAGTGGACAGCGAGTGAGATGCAGCGCCTGGCTGGCAAGGAGCCCAGGCGATGTGAGCTGAGCAACTGAAAAACTGCAGAGGAATTTGATGACGGAGACTAAATCCTGTGCAGGGAGAATGAGGGATCTCCTCCTGCGAAGGTGGTGTAGCGGTGGGGGTGTGCGTGTGTTTTGCTTTCTTTTTTTTTTTTTTTTTTAATTCCTGCCCATGATAGTCACCGCAGTGAGGTGTGGTTTGGAGACGAGGCAGTTTGTGTAGATGCAAAGGAGCCAAGGCACAGCAGGGCACTGAGCCCATGGGGAACCCAGACCCCTGCTTTCCCCATCAGTGTAAATGCCTGTTCAGGGCTTGAAGCAAGGCGGAGAGAGCTGTTATAGATCAGACATCTCAACACTTGCAGTTTAAACCCGAGTGAAGCTGGATGTATTTGCTTTGGCAGCACATGGTTTCTGCTTTTCACAGGGTTAAGTTCCCAACAGCCAGCTGCTCCCTGCAGTGTAGCTGCTCCTGGGGGGTGTCAGCCTTTGCACTACAGCAAACTGACCCACTCCTGGGCCAGGCAGCAGCCCGAGCACCACTTGTAGCTCACCTTATGCAGGGCAGAGACCCAGGTGAGCTGAGGCATGTCCAGCATCCCTCCCACCCGCTCACCCACCTGCAGGTTGCTGCGTCGTGCCTCTGGGGCTGCCCTCCCTGCTCAACATGGTTTGGGCTCTGCTGGAGCTCATCTTTATAGCACCCATTTCCAGCCTGTTTCTTGACCAGGACCTAGCTATGTCTGAATTACATTCCCCAAATTCAGGCCTGGGATTATTGGTTCTCCAGTTGGTATAAAGGGTTCTCTCTCTCCTGTCTCGCTCGGAGCCTGCTGTTTGCAGCCATGTCCTTGCTCTCCTTATGGGTGTTCTCTGATTTTTATGGAGTAGGGACCTGGCAGGTTATAACTGAGCAGTATTCTCTACGCTGAGACCCCTGAGCAGCAATTTTCTCCTTCCATCTTGCAGGCCAGA